ATATATATAATTATAAATACTGGTCCTGTTCTGTTAGCAGAAATACGAATACAGTGCAGCAATAATGAGAAGTTAATGTTTTAAATGCAGGGAAGTTTTCGTGTGAGTGAATTTTGTGTGCCTGAATTAATTGTTATATTTTAGACCTCACGGCCTAGCCAGGCGACTATCGAATCCCAGTTCGATGCGTTTCACAGGTTGAGATACACTCCTGTAGAAAACGTAGAATGTAAATGATACTTCGGTAAATAGCATAGAGAGAAATTTGTAAAAAAACGTTATAATAGTAGCATGTGTCGTCACTCTGTAATAGGCTAATGAACAAAATTGTTAGCTACACATTCTGGCAGGCCTGTTTTTATTGGTTCTATTTGTATCAGCAGTACCTTGCTCTTATAATTGTAATTAATTATCTCTACTAAAAACATTTTCCTAATAAACCTACTAGTGCCATAAATTAGTTTTCGATGCAGTCATTATTAAAAAAGTGTATACAACTTCTGGCCACAAAGAACGTTAGAACTAACATTCAGTTTCTTAACTCAGGTTTCTACGATTCTTTGTAATTCATATATCAACTTGGGACTCTAGATAAATCAACCTGGCCTACTTTGCTGACTTGGGAATAAAGTTTAAGTTCAACACCCCCCTCCTCCTCCTCCTCCTCCTCCTCCTCTCTTCTTCTCTCGTGCATTCATATCCATAAGGAACCACTGCATTATATTAAATGCAATTTTTAATAGGCATTTAGAATTACTTATTCTCAGACTATTTGAGTATGAGGTGTGAACCATAAAACTGGCCCTAGCGCTGCGACCTTCAATGGTCTATTGTGCTTCTCAGACTATTTAGTAAAATAGTTGAAAATTAACTGGAAGTCCGGAGTTCCATTCCCTGCATGGTCCTTGGGAATCGTCTATACACGAGTCATCACACTGAGAATTGCAACCCTCTTATCAAATGAGTATCAAGGGTATCTTTAAACATGATGATATGGGCCAGACAGAGTGAGCTGGAAGTTCACGGTCTTTTGATGGAGTTAGAGTTCCTGGGGCAGTAATGCCTCACCTCGTGCCATGCACGGCTTTAAGGCGTGACGCCGTAAATATGTACAGCTCAGTACTTACTTTACAACGCACCTAACCGCCATAAGCTTCAGTTACTTCATTCCAAATGTCTACATGCGCTATTTCTTCACCAATCGGACTAAAGTACAGGGTTATTCATAAGTCCGTGAAATATTTTGAAATTTTACAATACGTAAACTACGCAACGGATACCAAATTTTATTACACTGAAATATAGATAAACTCACCAATTTCTTTCTACATAGCTCACAGCTGCTCAATATGTCCACCTTTGCTGATACGGCAGACATCTATGCGATAATCCGTTTCGTCCCACACCCGTGTCCGCATATCGCGGTTGGCCAGAGCCACAGCAGCGGTGATACGGTTGCGAAGATCCCTGAGATTAGCAGGCAATGGCGACTTTAAAAACAACTGGAGAGATTCATTCTCTATTGGCGTAAGAATTACCATGATCCGATGCATAGTTTAACTGTTTTGAATTTTTAAAATGTTTCATGGATTTATGAATAACCCTGTATTTTCAATTGAATCTTCAGTCATTCTTGTCCCTGTTTTTTTTCTATATCTGATATCCTTTTCGAAATCAGTTTCACTTATCTTGATCAACTGGTTGTCCCGGATAAGTTGCTACCTAGCCTCAACGTATGTTTATTCATTCTGGTCCGTCACACTAGTTAAATATTATAGGATGATATGACAACACCGTCCCGTGTGACTCCGTATATACGAGTAATTATATAATGCCCTTACATGTTTCGATCAGTGATGAACATCTTCAGAAGACAATATCACCCCCAATATCCCGCTGATAGAAAACACACGAAAACAAGAATTTTAACAATTTGTAACTCAATTACATTTTATCTTAAATAAAATCTTTATTTAAAACTCTAATTCAATTTGATGTACTATGATCATTGGTCCAGTGGTTGAGATTAGCTCTTTCTAAGGGTCCCACCTGAGTAGGTGTCTTCCATTCTCACCTGAAGACGGAAACAGATCCAGTTTCCGAAACGTCGTGTCCTCTATTGCCTAGAATCACGAACGATGGAAAAAGTCTAGAAACCCAGTAATTCTGCCTGTATAAGATATGATGTGCGAAGTTACTCCAAACACTCAACGAAGGTTCATGTATTGGGGCATGGAAATTATAACATAGACAACAACACGTTTAGAGCATTACAAGGGCCCTTATTATGGAATGACATAAAATAAATATAAATCAAACACAAAGCAAAGAACGCGATTCTTCCGATAATTCTCTCATATCGTCTATATTATTGTATGGAGCCCTGAGTATCTGAGGAAAACCATGAAACCTGAGTTAGGATATTCAATTTCCGGCTCAGATTTGAACCTAGCACCTCCAGAATGTGAGCACAGACCGTTGTCACTAAGCTAACCTGCTCGTCGTTCCATCTGTGTTGATAACACATTGTATGCATAAATGTTCCTGTATTTCTTTCTGCTTCCATCTGTCTGTTCAATAGATTACGGAACAAACTAGAAATTAGCTTACTACCTGAATGCGTAACTAGTTTGGGAGGGGGGGAGGTTCTTAGGGTAGGGTGAGACGAGTGAGCTCGCTACGTTGGCCACTATTTACCCTAGATTGCGTAACTATGTCAGCATATTATTACATTTGCATAATTACGTTATATTTTCGTCTAAAAAATTATAAAACTCTTTCCTTCCTCAAGTGTAAAAATGTTATTTGTCTAAATCTTTACAACTTAAATTCTGGTGGCGACTACATAATGACACAAGCCAGGTACTTAAGAGGTGATCACACTAAATGAAGTTCGGTCTTAATATTATGCATCCTGTTGTGTGTCATAAATAATATATATAAAGTATAGGATATACCGTCTACACAACAACCGTACCACTGCACTATAGCGACAGCATCAAGGCAGAGGCAGCCCGTACATATACCATTCATAAATGCAACCTAATACGTGGTACAGTCATTAATTTCGTGACTGTGGCTTTATCGCATCATGCTACAAGGTATTCACATACACTTACACAGATCCACATTGGCCCCCAAAACAGTTGCCGTTGGCCGCTATGCAAGTCTGACAACGTTGATATAACTGCCGAAAACATTGCTGAAACCTATTGGCAGGAAATTCCCATACGGCGTCTCTTGTGTCATTGACCACCTCCTTGGACGACTGAAATCTACAACAACGTTTCTTTGCTTTCAAGCGGTGAAAGAGAAAGAAATCGCAGGGTGCGAGATCAGGTGAGTACGGAGGGTGTGGTAAAACGGTGACCTGTTGCCTTGTCAGTACCTCTTGGCTAAGAACAGAGCGATGTGCAGTGGCGTTGTCGTGTAGCAACAGCCAATTCTTCCTACGCCAAACGTTTTGCTAGGGGATTTGTCTAGTTTTTGGCAGAACTTGATGTTTGCCCGTTGTAAAAACTGTCACATTTTCAATTTCCGCCACTCGCATCTAACTGCAGTTCACAATATAGGCCGTAGTTCTGCTTACATTGTTTGCACACAACTGTATCTTGCTTTGATGAGAGATGAACTAAAAAGGCATATCCTGCCTCAACCTATCCGCTGTAGTGCATTGCAAATATGCTTTGCGGCCAGTCCACGAAATTATTGACTATGACAGTATGTATATCTTACCGTATACTGAGCTTAAGCTCTTTAAGACATTGCCGAGGTCATGGCTACATGACCCATCCTATCGAGAAGATTCCGTTACGCGGGTCCCCCACATTGTAGTCGCTTCTTCCGGCTTAAAACCAGGCCTACACATACTCGTACAGCATACAATCAAAAAATGTTCGAGCGATTCAAAAATCACCATAATACACACTTTCCATCATTCCGTACGCTTCTCCGGCTGTTTTGCCTAACTTCAAACAAAATTTGATGTTGCCTCTCTGTTCAGCTGCCATTTTCCGACGAGCGTCAGAACAGTACTGTTACATTCAAGATCAGAACACATGATGCAGCAACGCCTGCTCTTTGAAATTATATACAGCCACAGCTGAAACTTCAAGAACTTGCCACAACTTGCCAACAGATGGCATTGCGGGGTAAAATTAAAAAAAAAAAAAATAGTCCTAACGGATCCTGGACAAACCGTGTAGTGGTCGCAGAGTGTTACCAACAAAACACTATCTTATACTTATTTTGGTTTTCATGTCTTATTTTTTGTTCTCTTGTTTTAATGGTTTAATTTCTTACCTTTACTTCTGTAATTTTAACTACAATTTTTATCTAAAGTTTTCAGCTTCTAATTTTGCCTAACATTTGTTACACATTTACATTTGAATTTAATTTCAAGATACAATATGAATCCTTATTCGATGATTAAAATAAAAATTAATTACAACCCAACAGCTCAGACTGGTACATTGTAGGCCTGATGATGACCCGCGAAATGGTCGAAACATGTTGCGTCTCTAATAAACATAATAAAAGCAAATATTGAGGCAGTGGTGTCGTCTCTGTTTTGAATACTGACTGAAGTTCGGTGACAAGACCTACATATTCTTCATAGCATTTCTCCGGTTATTTAATCATCATGCATCCTGTGTAACTGAACAGAAAAGCATTTGGACGAAGGTTCCAGAATTAAAAATGAAGATCATGAAACTATTAAGACGGCAAGCCTGAATTCGGACTGCTCACTTCCGGAATACGTGCATTCCAGTCTAGGCTACGAACAGGACCATCTAGATCGGTGCTTTAGACAGTGCCAATAGCAGACTATCGCTAACTAAAACTGAAACTCTGATCACTTTAACCTCTAGGTAATGAAATTTACGTGTGTTTCAGTACCACCCGACATCACGGATGAGGAAACCAGCTCTGACATCACAGTACAGGAAGGTGAGAACGCCACCCTGGTGTGCCGTGCCACTGGGCATCCTGTTCCGCGCATCCTCTGGCGGCGTGAGGACGGGGAGCGCTTGGTCCTTAAGAAGGGCCTGCGAGACGTAACGAGAGGTGAGATTATCACTTACGGAGCCTATCTGAAAACTATTCTTTCATGCCTCTGTATAGATTAGATTGTGTTTCGCCATGCGAACTACAAATTTATATGCATCCTCTTGTGTTATAAGTAAGGTATATAAATGTATATAACAATATTCTGTATTTAAAAACAAAGTGCGCACTATCGTATCAACATATGTTTTTATCGACGCTTCATGTTTCGAGCCTTACACTGACAAAGTATAAGGGTCGAAAATGTAACGTCAATAAAAAGAAATTTTGATACAATAGTGTCTACTTTCTTTTTAAATACAGAATATTGTTGTGTAGATTGCATAATTTTATGCACATTTATAAATTTATACACGTGGTACAGTTATTAAATT